GGTTGGCTTAAGGTTATGGTTACAGATTACTTTGTTTAATACTCTGTTGTTTGCCAATGGCATCTTTCTTCCCAGTTTTCTGCTCTTTGCTAAGCTCCCCTTTGGAGCTCCTCAGCTTTTTAATTATTCACTAAAGTTAAACGGAACTCTTTGAGATTAATTGTGCTTGGTGGTATCTTGTAGGAATGAAATCTTTGCTTCCAAATTAAAAGCTACAAATGAAGCTTGGTATCTTGAGGGGCACTTTTGACATACAATTTTATCAAAGCTCACATGTAAGAATCTGAGAAAATAGACACAAAATTTTTTTAAAACCTTCTACAAACAGAACTTCCATACCCATAAACACTCAGATTCTCTGCTAAAATCATCACCATTCACGTTTCTGAGTAAGAACTGTCCTTTTGCTTGAACTTAGATTCCTGTTCTGTTTCACAGGGGACAAAGAGTTTGGTTAGGATAGGTAAATGGATAAAGATCTTGCTGCAAAAAAAGAAGTGTCATTATAGCATTAGTTTTCAACTGTTCTTTATATAGAATATATTTGCTGTACCTAGACCATATGCTTAAAACAAACTATTAGAGGTGAAGCAGAAAGCCTGGTACAGAAAGTAACTGTATTCTCAGTGTTTGCTAGTTGAATTAAAAAAAGCACGGGAGCCATGGCTCTCTAATTGCTTTCAAATCCCCAAATGTGGTGCCAAAGTGGTGCCAAACACACAGGAAAAGAAAACTCAGTCCTACAGTTAATAACTATTAAACCCACGTTTGGCTCATCAGGAACAGATGTGTTTTTGTTGAACACATTTCAAGCACTGAGTATTTTTGTTTCATGTAATATTTTTGTTTACAGTCCTTAATGTCATGAGTAAAAGATCACTTCTGCCTACTGCTGCTATGGGACATATTTTCCTACTACTCCAGGATAATTAAAAAAAAAAAAAGTTAGTTCTAAGACTTTGTTGACAGTGATAGCCCCTTAGCTGCTAAATCTGCTCTCCCATCCATCACTACTCTCAAGCAAAGCAAGCATTAGTTTCTCTGTGACTTATCTAGGTCTTTAGTAGATCAATAGCACAGCTCAGATGTTTCAGACTCTTCCCTGTTAATTCACATTTATCATTTCATCCAAAGAAGGTAAATTACCTCACAGAGAAGCTGTGTTATCCCCAATAGTGGTTTATAATGTTGCAAAGTCAGCATGACCTACATATCTTATCTCAGCTGGAACGCATTTGTCACTGTCTCCTGTTATGATCATCTGGTAAAACGCCCTAGAAAAGAGGTAAACCTGCAAAATGGCTTCACCACTTTCATTTAATGACCTTTTCTGCTGTGTGCTCCTGCATCACCTTCAATTCAACTGCTAAATAAAGGGAACTTACTTTTCCCGGTAAATGCTCCATTCCACATTTCAGTCATTAGCATTCCTCAGCAGCCTTCACTGCTGCTCTGGGGAGCTCTTCAGTGGGTGCTGATGCTGAGAACTGGCTCATTTATGAAGATGCTGTGTTAACCCTGGGAAAGGACTGCTGAGTTTAACTGTACATTTGTACAGTGGGCTGCTGGTCACCTGAAGCTTTTCAGGCCCTGGGAGTGTTTAATGCTCGTAGGAAAAAGGAATGAGAGGATGGTCGCTGACCTGTGAGCTGTAACCAGGCTGCTGCAAGAAATGCTGTATGGAACAAGAGTCTGATGGCATTTGGGACTCATTCCTTTCCAAACTATAGTAAAGTAGATATTTCGTTATATACATATATTAATGTATTTCAGTATATGTAAAAGCATGTTCTAAAAACTTAATAAATGATATCATGAAAAGAAAGTTTAAATGGAAATATACTTGACTTCTAAGGAGTCTGATCCAGTTGTTTGCTAAAACAGTGCATTTTTACTCTCTTTCCTCAGATGAGTGGAGCAGCTCTGCCTGGGCTGAACTCTGCTCTGCACGTGTGTAATTCTTAGGTCGTTAACTGAGAAATTACTTGGTGTCATCAAGGAGCTCTGCTTTTTGACATGGAGAAAAGGTAGGTCTGTTTTCAACACAAGTGCTTGATCTTTTCCCAAATGAGAAGGGAGGAGGGGAGGCCCCTCCAGGGAGCAGCGACTCGAGTGGCTGTGCCCGCCCGGCCGGAGGAGCAGCACGAACCGGGGCTTGGCCCGCAGGTGGGGCAGGATCGCCCGACTGGGAGACCTTGGGGACGAGAGCGGGATGTGCTGAGACGGCCCAGCACAGCAGGGCCTGCCCGGGGCACTGCCCGTGTTCCTGCGGGCCTGGCAATGTGCAGGGAGCGCGGACGGGCAGGGACAGCCGAGCCCCGGGGCAGGGGAGCAGCCCTGGGGGCTGCGGGGAGGGCACCAGCGGGGCTGGGCCGGGCCCCTGGGCTCTGGGGAGGGCACCGGCGGGGCTGAGCCGGGCCCCTGGGCTCTGGGGAGGGCACCAGCGGGGCTGGGCCGGGCCCCTGGGCTCTGGGGAGGGCACCAGCGGGGCTGAGCCGGGCCCCTGGGCTCTGGGGAGGGCACCGGCGGGGCTGAGCCGGGCCCTTGGGCTCTGGGGAGGGCACCGGCGGGGCTGGGCCGGACCCCTGGGCTCTTTGCCGAGGAGCACAGCGGGAGTGGGAGAGGGAGAGGGCAGTGGCTGCAAACTGAGAAAAGGGAAGTTCTGATTGGGGGGGAGGGCAAAAAGAACGAGATGCCCAAACTTTAGGACAGAAGCCTGCGGTTCCTGGGGGAGCTCTCGAGAAGAGGTGAGATCAGGAGTTGCATCTGAATTGAGGGAAATTATTGTTTTCTCTCTTTGGTAAGGGCGTATTGGGTGCTTCTGTGGAGTTTCTGAGGTGTTTTCACCTCCCTGTTCTCTACATGGGCTGACTGTACGTGCTGAAAGGTTACTTCCCTTTCTTTGGAAATCTGCAGGCACAGGATGTTCACTGAGCTGTCCCTGGGGCTTAATTTGTGTTGGGGAAAACCATCAGGGCATTAAAGATAGGAGTTTCTGTCCACAAACTGCCATAAAGTGTTGAGGATAAAAGAATTCTCTGGTTGCATTTTTCCCCCCCTGTTTTGTATTTTAAACACACTGCAGAAAATGTGGAATGTACAGGAAATTAAACAACAATGAGGCTCCAAGGACTGGAAAAAACCTCAACATATTTTTCCACTGGGAATTTTTCTGGATATTATCCTGTGTTCTGTCTCTTCTTTGGAAGGTACACCGCTCACAAATAGTTTATATGCAAATAGAAGCCAGCTCTTAATTTTTTGTGAACCGACTCCTTGGTCTCTGGTATGTATTTTGTGCAAGTATTTTTACTCCCACTTTTCTGTCTGAGTGCCTTGCTGTCCTGGAGACTGAACCACGGTGTGCTTGTGCTCTCATTTTAGGGTGTTGCTGTTCCAAAATGAGCACATCAGGAAAGAAAAGATGGAATTTTGCATCTGAAGGCCCTTTACTGTTATTTCTAGAAGTGAAGTGAGGGGACTTGATTTTGTTCTTTTGTTTGGTAAGAAAGAAAATTCCATTTATTTCCAGTGAGGCACACAGCTGTTTACTGGGGAGAAAGGGCAGCAAAAGCATTTTTTGTACCTTTATCCCACCCATCCCTGCCACCTCCAAACCTTGAGCACTGAAAGTCACTGCTGTGCCAGAGTAGCTAAAAGCTTCCTTCTTTCTCAGTAAACACCTTGGAATCACTGGGGATAGGTTTTTTTGGACGTTTACTTGTTTCCTTGCCTACTGCTGAAGAAACTGTTGATATTTTTTTTTCCCTAAGGAAGAGAGGTATAGTGGTCACACCACTTGGAAAGAACAAGTAGGGAAAGTTTATGATCTTTTTCTGCCTCCTCTTCTTGTATCATTTTATTAAAGGCTTGGTCTCCAGTAGTTTACTCCCCCTTGTGGGAAAACACTTTTCTCATTAAAAGGGCAAAGAGTAACTGAAACAGCAGAAAGAATTCCACCAATTTGGGAAAATTTGTAAAAAATCAGGAACTGGTTTAAAATAATGAGTGTTCTCATCCCACATATATAAGATATAGGCACATCACACTGCATCAATAGAAACAAGCAGACTTTTTGCCTAATTCTCGGAGTGTTCTTAAGATTCATTAATTTTAATTAATTTTATAAAGTAGGTGGCATTACTGAATTTGAAATACTGCTTTAAATAAGTTTAAATGTCTTTAGTTTTACATAAGTATATAGAAAGGAAAATAAAGGTGAGGGAAGTGGATGGGCAGAATTTGGGGAATTGGAGGCCTCAATGTTGATTTCCTTCCTGGAGTGGAGTCAGTGCAGAGAAACTCTGGAGTGAACAGTTGTGCTCTGGGCAAGGTCCCCCTCTCGAAAAATTAAGGGCTGGGCTTTCCTGGTTGGGTTATCCCGGTTTGGATAAAGCATTCTGTGTGCCAAGTAGCGCTACAGAATCGCGTGCAGTGACCTGTTCTGTGATGTTCATGGTTCATGCCCTGGCTGTGCCTGTCCCTCCCACACCTGCTGGGGACCCATCGCAACGGTGAGGAAGGAGAGCAGTTCCTAACTAAACGCCGCCACCTGCGCTTTGTGGTTATTATGGGTGAGTCAAGAGCATTAATTTAACGATTCCAGAAACGCTCTTAAATAGCTTCTGAAGGGAGTCTCGCGGTGACGTCACGCGCCCAGGCCCCGCCCAGCCCGAGTCACGTGCAGGGTCGGGTCGGCCTCTGGGCCAATCAGCGGGGACGATTCACCCCGGAAGTTGAACCCGTTCCCCGGCAGCGCCGCGCGTTACCACGGCAACGGCGGCGGGATGGTGGGAGCGAGGCGGGAGCGGGATAGGGGCGAGCGGGATGGAGACGGAACGGGACAGGGAGCGGGAACGGAATAGGGAACGGGATAGGGAGCGAGCGGGATGGGAACGGGATAGAGAGGGAGCGGGACAGGGAACAGGATAGGGAAGCGAGCGGGATAGGGAACGGGATAGGGAGGGAGCGGGATGGCGAGGGAACGGGATGGGGAGCGAGCGGGATGGGGAGGGAACGGGATGGCGAGCCTGTCCCTTGTGGCCCGCAGGACTCCGAGGAGCGGGAGTGGAACAAGCGGGCCGCCCGGCTGCGGGCCGAGCTGGAGCGGGAGCGGCGTCTGGACGAGGCGCTGCGGGCGGTAAGAGCTGCGGGGGCGGCGCTGCGGCCGCGCTCGGCAGGCCGAGGAGGGGCGTTCGTCTGCCTTTACCTGCCAAAGGCGTCCTCCTTTAGCAGCGTTTACTGACCGGTGTAGCTTGAACTGCGCAGCCCCTGCTCCCCGGTGTCTGTGCCCAGAGGCGTTACGGCGAGGTTTGTTCTGCTTAGGCGGAGGAGAACAGGAGGCAGAGAGCGCTGCAGCTGGAGCGGGAGCAGAAGCTGGCGGCTGAGATGGCCAGGAGGGACCTCGAGAAGATGAAGGACGAGAAGCTCAGGCAACAAGTCAGAGCCAACAGGTATCGCTGCAGAAACCTCCCGGCTGTATCAAACTGGTTTGGGGAAGTTGTAGCAGAAGTGGAAATGAGTAAGAGCTGGAAAGGAGAGTTATTTTGAGGTCAAGCTATGATAAAAGTTAATGTTAAGCAAATATGTTCTCAATAAGAGAAAAAACTCCAACTCACGAAGTTTTGGTTTTGCAGACATGCTTATGTATATATGTATCTATATGTAATGTATGTCTGCATGCTCTTGGGCACATCTGTGAGCACACATGTATGTATTTATACCTGTACTTGTACAGTTAGATGACAAGTATGCAGAACTGTTGATAGCACATGTAGGAATACAGGTAACTCTTGTTTTAATTTCTTTTCTTTTTCTACCCTTTAACTAGAGCAGTATTTTTCATCAGGGTTTCCCCTGAAGTATGGTTGGGTTATTTTAAATTGTGTTTAACAGTGATGGAAATTTGATTTTTTCCCCCTAGGTACTTACCTCCTTGTGATAGGATAAATTTTTTTTTTTTCCCTTTCCAGTCTTGAACTTCGAGAGTTAGAAAGAAAGCTAAAATATGCCTATATGAATAAAGAACGAGATGCACAGATGGCTGAAAAAAAAGCTTTTTACGATGAGAAACTGGTAATTAGCTCCATAGTGAATCCCAGCACCCAAGTCCTGTAACTCTTGTATGAATTGTGCTGAAAAGTTTTCCTTTGAAGCTGACCTTTTTAGCTAAAATCATGGTTAGGCATTCAGTGTTATTGAAAATACATTTTGTGCTATGGAGGATTAATTAACCAGTAATAACTAGCTACAAGAAAAAGGTTTACCCTGCCATTTCAGTCAAAGGAGTAGTGAATTAAGCTGTATGACTGGCTGTAGTTGTTATTTTGCTAGATTTGTAGTATTTATCCAAGTTAAAACTAGGATACCCTTTGTACAGTAAGTGCTTAATGCTTACCATGGTGAATCCTTACCTCAGAGTCCAGCTGTTGGAAACATTTACACAGATATCTGGATAACTTCAGAAAGAATTATGAACTTCTGCTGATGCACAGAATAATATTGGTGATCAGGCAGATGATTCTGGCTGTGTTAATGTCTTACACAGAGTTTAGTGTAGGCAGGTAAAGAACATCCTGGAAAGAGAACATTCTCTGCAGTGCAGCCTCATTGCAGTCATTATGCTGACGTGAGCAAGTCCCACTGGTGCTCAAGGCTGCACTTCTAGTGCTCCTCAAGTCAGATCCTGGGGCTTCCCTTCAAGGGTTCCACTGACTGGGTTAAGCTACTGAGCATGTTAAGGCTCTGTATTTCTAGACTGAGGTGGAAAACCTTCCTTTCTGGGAGTGCAGCACAATTCCTCTCCATTCTGTGTGCTTTTTCACTACGTGTTGTAGAAGTGGGAGTAAAAAGGAATCTTGCTTTGCTTTTTTCCCCCCAGAAATGGGAGGATGAAATAGCCCAAGAGATGAAGGAAGAGCACGACAGGTTAATGCAAGAAGAACTTGCTGCAGAAATGAGGCGAAACCAGGAGAAGATAATGTACCATCAGGAACTGGACAAACAGCTTGAGGAACAGGAGAGGAAGAAGCAAAAGGCCTATGAAGAGTTTCTGAGAGAGAAGCTCATGATTGATGAGATTGTAAGAAAGATCTACGAAGAAGACCAAATGTTAGTTATTTTGAATTTTTATTATTTTTTTATTATTTGTTAATATAAAACAAAACAAGTTCTATAATTCTGTAGAGGAAGCTAATCTGTATGCATCTATTCCATACAGACTAAGGGCTGTTTTAGTTTGCCTTGGCCACATTTTGCTAACAAGAGACTGACTTGGGTGAATTGTCCTGTTGAAGCATCAGAATGCTCCAGTCAGTCTCGTGTCCCTACCTGGCCACCTTGTGCCAGCTCTCTGTTTGCCTGCCTTATGGACAGGGACAGGGAAGGAGGTTTCTGAGGGCTGTGGGGGGGAGAGTTTAGTGTAAATAAAAAGTTTAGGGGTTGTGTGGACTTTCTTCTCTTCTTTCTCTTTGACGGAGTGTGTGTAAAATGCAGTAGTAGTGAGGACCTGTGTGAACAGTCTGCACTCCTGAAAGATGTTAGACATGAGATTCCCTTCTTGGAGCAGCTCAGTGATAGGTATTTTAAATTTAGGTGTCTAGTGTCTAGCTGAATGTTTAAGGAGAGTCATTTAAATCTCAGTCCCTGGGATATATTAACAGTGAGCATCTGGCCAGTTCAATGTTACTCCACAGGAACAATAAACTATTTGAACATTTCTTTTCCATCTTCTACAGGGAAAAACAACGAAAGTTAGATAAAGTGAGAGAAACTCAGATGTATATTGAAGAATATATAAAAGAACAAGCTATGTGGAGGAGAAAGAAAAAGGAAGAGATGGAAGAAGAAAATAGGAAAATTATGGAGTTTGCCAACATGCAGCGACAAAGGGAAGATGACTGGATGGCTAAAGTTCGAGACACTGAGGAGAAAAAACAGAAAGTTCAAAACATGGTATTAAAAATTGAAATTGCAGGAAAAAATTGTTGTATGTTTTTGTCTTTCATTTAGCAACCTTTCCTTCCTGTAATAGGTTGCGGAGACAATGGAAAGGGAACAACAGAAGCGTCAAGAACAGGAACAAATCCGCCAAGAGCTGTATCTGGAAGAACAAGAGGAGATGGAAAGGAAGAAGGAGATGGTAAGTGCTGGCAGGTAGATGAAGGGTTTTTTTTTTCACACTTTGGATTTGCTAAGTCTGCAGTGTTATTTGTGACTTGGGGATGTTTTTGAGGGACTCCTTGAGCCCATTTGGGACTGTTAGCTGTCTTGAAGCAAAAGGCTTAATTCTAACATGGTTTTAGGAGTATTAAATGAATCTGAATTATTTTCAATTCTGTTCTGGCACGAAGTCTTAATTTCCAGCACTATTTCCTAAATGTTCTTAGTCTGACAAGCTGTTTGTACATTAGTTTAGGTTTTGGAGGGAAAATTCTGTCCTTTGAGTTTCCTTTTCCATTCCTAATTTATGTCTTATGTATTTATGTTTTATTTTCAACCAGGAAGACAAGTGAAGGTTTTGAATACCCTTATACCCCTTTATACATTTATTTATCTTGTGAAGCAGTAGCTTTCAAGTTCAGGTTTAAGCTAAGGAGGTTAATTAACTGCTTTTTTTCTGCATGTCTACTTGCTTTTCCAGTGAACCTGCCCACACTCTGTCTTACCTTGCTGTGGGTGACAAAATGTAGAACAGGTTGAGATACCAAACACTGCTATTTTTAGAGAGTTGATCAGGATGATTGTCTTGAGTCACTTCATGCTAGTGGGGAAAAAAAAATATCTCCCTTTGTTTTGGGCTTAATTTTGAGAATCTTGTGACATTTGCCAAAACTGGAGAACCTTGTCAGATATGGAATGTTTGCTCCAGTTAGTTATGCTGGAAGTTAACAGCTACAGTAAATTTATTCCAAGAAAAATGCAGTAGATTGGCTGCTGATGGTGGTCTTTCAAAGTCTGTTCAGTAGCACAGCCTCGTACTAAATTCCCTTTCTAGGCAGAAATTGAGAAGAGAATAAGGCAGCGCCTGGAGCTGAGGCAAACATACGAGGAGCAGTTTGCCATGAAGGCGGCAGCACAGCGAGCGCTGCGGGAGGAGGAGGAAGCTTTCCGCCAGCAGATGCTGGCCAGGCTGGCGGAGGAGGATCGGCTGGAGGAGCTGAACGCTCAGAAACGCAGGATGAAACAGCTGGAGCACAAAAAGGCCGTGGAAGAAATCCTGGAAGACCGTCGCAAACAGTTCATTGCAGACAAAGTAAGAGTTTCACACGTGCCTCGGGTTTGAGCCCCACAGGGTTTCAGGGTGGGAAACTTCTGCTGTCCTGAGGGACGTGGCTGGTGTCACCAGGGAAAGGTGACAAATGTGTGGGGGAAGCAGGCCTTGGACTTGGTTTGATGACAAGAAAAAGTATTTTTTTATAGCCAACTTTTTTTGTAGCTTGAGAGGTTGGGGTCAGCAACGTGCCTGGACCCCTGTGTACCTGACATGCTCTGCAAACACCTCTCAGGAGCCATGGGAGCAGTGGAACAACTGCTGTCCAGTTCCTGTCCCTGGTCAGCTGCACTGTGTGAGGAGGGGAAGTCCCAGCCTTGCTTTTAGATTATGTCTCTTGAATTCTGATCTGAGGAAGAAAAGGTGTAAGCTGGAAACAGGTCATGGGAATCTAAACTGCAGTTTTCAGACCTTGTTTAATGGGGTATAAATCACGTATGTATTGTGAATTGTGATTTCTAGTCATCAGCATGAGAATTCATTTGCTCCTTCATTTGCTCCATTCAATCTGTTGCTCCTTATTCCTGGATTAGAGCAGTGGGACAGGAACAGACTAATTTGTCAGAGAGCCACAAAGGAACCAGAACTAGATGCTTAATATGCTTTCAGAAGGGCAAACACTTGGATAGCAGACTCACCCCAGGTCCTGCCATCCAGTCCTCTCTTTTGTTTGAGATTGTTTTCCAGTTGCCAATCATACATTCTTTAAACAAATGTTCCCAAACTGAACTTAGGAAAACTTCTTTATTGTAGGAGCGGGAAGTTGAAGAAAGAGAGTTAGAGAAGAGAAGACAAGAAAGCATCCGTGCAATTGTTGAAGAGGAGAGGCAGAAACTCCTGAAAGAGCACGCCTGGAAACTGCTGGGTTATCTGCCTCGAGTAAGTGAAGTGTCTTGTAAATGCTTTCAGTGTCTGTCCTGTAAATCAGTTTTCTCTTGGATACTCCAAGGTGAAGTTGCAGAACTGTGTAAATTCCTGGAGTCTGTGGGTGTCCTTACTGTGTCAGCTCACCTGCACTCACCTCTTACTTTCTGAGTTGGGAAGCTCTTTCCACAAATGCTCTGTGGGCCCACTGGCAGCACTGATGCCTTGAGCAGGACTTGCTGAAAGCTTCCAGGCCTTGCACATCCAGTGCTTGGAATGTGAAACACGAGTTTCACAGCAGGGCTTTTCTGGCTAGAAAGGGGTCCCCCACATCTTACACCCTCTTTCCACTACATTTCTCAGTCGAGATTTTGGGAGCAATTTTGGCTTGTCTGCCAAGTATTCCAAGTAACCATGGAGGAAAGGCCTCCCCTCTGCAGCAGTGCAAGGAACTGCAGTGCTTACAGAGGCATTTCAGAGCTCACTCTGTTCATCCCTGTGTTTTTAAAAGTTAGAAGGATGGAAGCAGTTACTGCAATTGGAATAAACTACAATTTATTTTGTATTATGCTTCATAATTGGAAAGCTCTCCTGACAGTACACAAATGAACAGAGCTGCCATAGAGCTACAACAGAGCTACATTCACAGCAGGGAGGGAATTATCCCACTAGTTAAAGAAATTCTGCAATTCTGGAAAATGTAAATAGAGCAGAGTATAATTTTTATTCAAACATTAATATGATAATCGGTGCAGGAATTTGTAACATTTGGAGTGAGTTGTTCTTTAATGTAGATTAAAGGATAACCCATATGGAAAACATTTGGAATATACTTCTCTGGTTTGAATGTGCTGTTGTAGGAAGCCTTGGCAGTTCAGTGTCCACTGACACCCATGTGCCATGTATGATGTCCTGCTTTGTTCACTGTGTCTGACTCGGGTGCAAAGTGCTACCAAATTTGAAACTTTCCAATATAGATGCAGTTTGTATTTTTTTTCTTTTCTAAATGCTGCAAGGTATGTGCTGTGGGTTATACATATTTTTAGCTGTAAAATTAATTTAGAATTAATTATAAATTTAGATTTCTGGGTTCCCCTGCTTCCCTTCCCAAAAATGTAGTTTTTGATTAAGTTGTCCAGTATCAGTTGATTTCCCAAGTTATTTCTTTGTAGGAGCTAATTCAACACAGCTTAAAGGGCAGACAGAGCCCCAGCCCAGCCAGGGCCTGTTTTCACTGCAGTTTCTTGATTTTGCTAAAGCTGCACCTGCTGTGGTGGGTGTTACCATTTCTGTGAGAAAGGGAATGCAGCTCAGTGTTGTCTTTTGGTAGTGCTTGTGTGTGCAGAGCAGGAGTGGCTCTAGGATAGCACCAGGTACACCACTTCGTAACTCATCTGTTCAGGTTTTGTGATGGTTTTCAGGCTTGAGTTTGGGGTTTGTTTTAAAGGTACCAGGTATTATGGATACAAACTCCATTCTCTTCCATGAAAAATTGCAGAAATCCATAGAAATCTCTCTACTGTTTTACCTTCTAATGTGTGTTTCTTTCCCATTACTGCAGGGGATAATCAAAGATGAAAATGACATTAACATGCTTGGAGAAGATTTTAGGTTGGCTTTCCAGCAGAGAAGAGGTAATGAATTATCAGAAGAGAGCTGAACCTTTTTCCAGCTCAGCTCCTGCTTTGCCACTAGGTGTCAGCTGATTCCCATGAAAGCTTCCATTTGCTGTTAACAGTGAGGAACTCCTTTTTTAACACCATTAAAAGTCTCCACCTTCAGACCGAAGTTCTCAGCTGATGAGCAGTTAGTTTTATATAGGTGTGAGCTGCACTTGCATTTTTCATCAATAAACTGTTCTGAGTTCTCAGTTCTCCTCAGTTAGTGGTGCAGCAATGTTAGAAATGTTTTCTCCAGCAGCACAGCAGAAACCTAAGCTGCTGTAAATGCACACACCTGTCCCAGTATGGACTGCAGGACTCTCTTTGTGCACTAGTTCTGGGGGTAGTGGGAAGATTTGACTGCACTGGCATTATACTACTGTGACCCTAATCCAAATGGAGTTTGTCTCCTCAAAGGGGTAGATCTGAGGTACTTTGGCAGGATCTAAAGCAGAGACATTGTTCCATGCTGAAGTCAGAACCACTGTTTATACCTTTCAGTGCATAAACTTACTGGTTTTGTGCCATGTTCCTATTCCCTTACTCTGAGGGAGGAATCCATTGAAATCACTGAGGTCTGACAGGGGTTCATGGAAGCAGCACAGGCTCGTATTGCTCCTGTTCATTTGTGTACACATGGTATGCTCAGCTCATCTACCCTTCATCTTTTATCTGGTTCCTGATGACAATGATGACTAGTGCTTGTGGAGCACCTGTGAGTAGTCACAGCCCCTGACTGTATCCCCAGGCTGCAGCTGATGGCCAGGGAAAGGTTTAATATTTTCACCTTGACTAAAAGAATCTGTCTGGGCAAGTCTCGTGTGTGGTTATGCCAGCCAGGGGGTAAGATGTAATGACTAAAACAAGTTATGATCATTTCTATAAAAGAGCTGTTGGTGCTTAAATTAGATGCCAGACCAACCAGCTTTGAGGGGAGATCTGTTACAGAGAACAGACAAGGCCAATTTTCCAACCACGTGTTTTAAAAAGGACATGACATTTTCTTCTCAACTGGATCACTGGTAATTTATTTCTGTTGCAACAAGGAATTTTCTGAGACTAAATTCTGCCTTCTTTGGACTGAATATTACCATAGACAGGGTATATTTAAAATGCTAAAACAGAGCAAACTGATTAACAAAGTTCACTTGTTGGACTATTCCTTGCATGGTCTGTGCTTCTCTGCTCATTACAGAATGGACGGTTTGGCCTGACACTGCAGTAGAAATTTATATTTCATACATGACAACCCAAGCTATCAGGATTACAAAAGTTAAACAATTTAAACATAAGCAAAATCAACAAAATCACAGTACTGGGATATACAGTTATTGACTATTAACAAGGTTCATATACAGTCCCAAAATAATGTGTTGTCTGAGTTGTCTTTCAAACAGAAGCTGTTTTTTAATGGAATCAATAATTTCCCCACTCAAGAGCTTTCATGAATTCCTCTTCAGTAAAAGAAAGCATCTTGGCAGCTTCAATGTGCATCTTAAAAAAAACCAAAACACAATTAGGAGCAGAAGGTAAAAGAGTGTGAGTGACCAACACAAAATCCCGGATAACTCAGGTAGCTGAAAGGGGCTTCAAATCTATAATTTGATTTTTTTTTTTTTTTTTTTTTGGTACTGTAGTCTGATGGATGTTCACCTATTCCAGCTGAAGCTGCTACTCATATTTTTCTGCAAAAATTTATAGTTTAGAGATGTGATAAACTTTATGCTAAACATTGTAAGTTCAGCTCTAGTAAAACAGGACTAGTAGCTTTTCCTAGTTCCTTATATTGCTTTAAAAATATCTTGTGTTTCCTGAGGCATGGAAATTCCTGAAAATCTAACTTGTGACCTCTGAAGAACACATATAAGGAAACTGGTCCATGTTCTCTCAAGCTGATCAATATGTGTATTGATCACAGCTTAACATTAAAGTTATTCCAAACCAAATCATCCTACTCCTGAAACCTAATGTCTTTGGGGAATTTTCCCCCCTCTATCATTCTTCAGGCTCTCTGTGCTTTGTGCATCTGAACCTGCCACACAAATCTTACACAAACAGCCCACATCAGGTTTTCCTCATTGATTCAACAAAAGGCCTGTGCCAAGCAGACTTGAAGCCCTTCCACTGATTGTGGCTGTTGAGCACATGGGACCTTCAGCTGCCCTTCCCTGGTGCCTCCTGCCAGGAGCTGCCGGGGCAGGGGCAGCCCCATCTCCTGCAGCTTCTTCCACTTACAGTCTGTTGGGAAAGAACAGCAGGATCCCTCTTCTCTGGGTAAATGCAATTTTTCTGTAAGCCAAGGTAAGTGGCTTCCTCTCCTGTCTGCAGTTCTGACATAGCATTTGTAGTTGTTTAAAATTATATTTGGTGCAGTTTTGTGATGTTTGTCTGAGACTGTGGGTTTGGTTCCCAGTCAAACAGAAATGCTGCTGTGACACCATTTCAGTGCATTCATGTTCCAGGGGACAATGAGCTGCCTCAGATACAGAGCATACGCTGAGTGAATGTGTATAGTTTTCCTTCTCAAAATAAACTTGCAGAGCTAGAAGGGCTAAGCCAGCCCTGCTGTTGTTGGGTGAATCCCAGTATCTCCTCAGCATCCTGTTACTGCCAGGAAAATTCTCTTGCACTGGAAATGCATGGGCAGCCTCACTTCCTCTTATTCCAGTCACCTGTCCTCCTTTGCCCTGTGTTGGGCAGGTATTCCAGATTCAAGGGTGTATTTCCATATTGCAATTCCCAGTTCTTGGGATAAGTGTGTGTATTTTGTTCTCTGAAGTTGCCACTTCATACAGAACTATTCTTCCTCTAGGGGCTCAACAGCTTTGCAAGTGTTTACAAATTGTCTGGTGATCACTGCAGTGACCAAAGGGTAAATAAAATGTTCTATTTTCTTATCTCTAAGGCTGGCCCTTCTTAAAGGGGGTTCTGCCCAAAAAGCCACCACATGTTGCTTGCTTTAGCTCTCTTACGGCTTTGGTTTGAGAGCACAAAAAGTGCACCGACTTCACCCCCAGATTAATGACATGAGTTTAGGATTTGGGGGTGACCCACTCTGTGGTGTTTAGATCTGTGCAGACAGCTCTGCAGCCCACAGCTCTACTGTCTCATGCAGCCTCACAAGGGAAACCGATACAAATAATTGCACACACCCCACGTATTTGTAAGTGAAAGGTTTGATGGAACTAGTAAATGGAAAATGTTTGATTTGGGCACCATATCTTAGTATACAGTCCTCTCACTTTAGTGTCCTTTCACGTAAACTCACAATTTCTTTCAGTTTGCACTATCAAAGCTCATGGATTGGTCTATGCTGAAAATATATTTTGAGAAATGTCAGAGGTTTTTCTTTTCAAGTAAAACACCCCTCCTTTTGGGAACATCCAGTAGAGCTTTACCAAATATGATAGTTAAATACACTTTGAGCTGTATTCCATCTGCAGTATTAATCTACTTCTCACTGTGGCAGCTTTCCATGGAAGCTGGATCACTAATGGTTCAGCATGAACTGGCAGCACTTGTTCTATCACCTCTGCTCTCTTCAGTCTCAGCTTCAGCTGCTAAAGACTCTGCCCACCCTTCCATGCCCCGAGGGAGAGGAATGGAGGGGGATGTGAAATGAATGTAGAATCAAACGACTTTCAGAGCAAAGCTTCGAGTGCAGGGTGGATGGGAACACCCTTGCAGCCAACGTTACTGCATTGTGTGTGATTCAAAGTATGCAGGATATTCCAGGAATTACCAAAGGATGGAGCTCAACTCCCCTCTTTCAGTTGAGTAAATTCACACCTAGGATAAGTGCTCTGACTTTTAATTTTTTTTTTGTCTGACACACAAGGAGATCTGCACCTGAGCACAACTGTACATGTCCAGAACAACTCAGAATATAAATAAAAAGAAACAAAGTGTTGATAGAGAGGGACACACTTTGAGAACCCTGGAAGAATGCAGGTCTAAAATGCAGTGCTCACTCCTGAGAGGTGGCACTGTTAGAGCTGCTGATCCAACAAATAATGTTTGCGTGTGGGGAAACTAAAAAATCTCACCTGTTCAAATGGGTCCTACTGACACAGCACAAAGGGAGCTGCTGTTATTACCTGCACAGTGTTTGTTCTTGAACAAACAAATATCCTCAGTCAGTAACAACCTTTAACCATGACAGGATGCATTCCTAGTTAGGAATGGGGTCAACTGAAAAGCAGACCAGCCTTTGCTAGAACACAAAATGTTACCAATAGGCTCTAGGAAAAGTGAGGCTGCTGCTCTCCTGCATTGAAACTTCCCATTCCAGGGGCTCCAGTTCCAGGATCACCTGACTTGACAACAGATACATTTAGCTAGGAGTTGTTTACTGAAATACACCTGTACTCTGGTCCTTACCTTCTGTCTCTTCAAAATATCAATTAACTTTAACTGCTTTTTAAAACCCGTAATTAGCTCTCCTTTTTGTTTCTGCAGTTTCTTGTTTTCTGTTTTTAATTCTTCAATTGTTTTGAGTTCTTGGTTAGCTACATCCTGCCAAGGGAAGAAAAGGAGAAATGTGTTATTTATGAAAGTGGTGCTTTTGCCAAAGGAACCCGGCATTACATAAGAAAGTGATGAACAGTGGCCACAGGTGACATATCTGAAAAGAAATGGGAATAATCAAAATATTCTCGCATTAAAACTTGGGAGAAAAGGAAATCTCAAAGATCTTTTTGTCTGTCAATGTATTAGGTGAGTATGTGTACTTCCCCCTCTTTCTAAACACATCTTATTTTCACACAAACGAGGAAAAATCAGAGAGGCTTTAATGTTATTCTGTACATCTATTGCAGTAGCATCATCCAAGATAACTTACCCACGCCTTTGGTGACTTGCTCTAAGTTAACTTTGGGACTGCCTGAAAGAGATAAGATGCTTCCAAAGCTGATGAAGCTTTTTGTCTCACTCTAGCTTTACTGAGTGATCACAGACTGGAAATAGTTTTCCTA